GTCTCAGCCAACTGAGGAGTTTGGTAAAGGTAAACGAGTCCGCAAGTTAAAAAAGCCCTTCAATTTCATGGTTGACATGTCATCAAGGTGCACATGTGAGGAGAGTGAGAATTGCATTCACAAGAAGGTAGAGGCAATATGCATGGCAGCATCACACCTTCCGCGAGAGCCCTTGAGTCGTCGTGAGGCAATGGCAAGTCCCGAAAGAGAGCATTGGTTGAAAGCCGAGGAAGAGGAGATTGAGAGTCTCATGAAGCGAGGTACATGGCGTCTTGTTGAGCCACCTCCAGGGAAGAAGGTAATTGGTGTCAAATGGGTGTACAAGATCAAGGTAAAAGGTGATGGTAGCCTCGATAGGTACAAGGCAAGGTTAGTGGCAAAAGGTTATTCCCAAATTTCAGGTCTTGACTTCACCGAAACCTTTGCCGTGGTAGCAAAGTACACCACGGTACGAGTCCTCCTCGCCATAGCCGCATATCTTGGTCTCCATATCCATCAAATGGATGTCAAGAACGCATTTCTCTACGGTGTCTTGGAAGAAGAGGTATACATGGCACAACCCGAAGGTTATGATGACGGTACGGGTCGAGTGTGTCGCTTGGTAAAGTCCCTTTATGGTCGCAAACAGTCCCCACGGGTTTGGTATCATGCTCTTGAGCAGGTACTTTTCAAGCATGGTTTCACAAGGTCCATGAGAGACAACGCTCTGTACTTCATGCACACGAGTGAGGGGGAGTACATTTGGCTCTTGGTATATGTCGATGACCTCCTCCTAGTCTCAGGTTCTCTTGATCTTCTCAACAAGGTGAAAGGTATTCTCACGAGTGCATTCACGATGACCGATCTTGGTGAGCCGAGTCATTATCTTGGTATGAACATTGTGAGAGATCGTAAGTCACGGTCCATCTTCCTATTCCAGCAAAGGTACATCCAAAAGGTCCTTGAGAGGTTTGGTCTTGATGATAGCAAGCCATCACCTACCCCACTTCCTTCCAAATTTGTCCCTTTGTCTTCACATCAGCCCTATGAAGAGAGAGAGTCAAGCCTTGATATCATAGGTATTAAAGAGTTGTGTCTTGAGGAGAGTGAGCATCATGGTGAGAATTCACTTAAGGTATCCCCACAAGACCTAGCTCTGTACCAAAGTCAGGTTGGGTGTCTCATGTATGCAGCCCTATGCACAAGGCCCGACTTAGCATTCACGGTATCTAAGCTAGCTCAACACATGAGTGCCCCTTCACCTATTCATATGCATGCAGCCAAGCGAGCTCTTCGGTATCTCAAAGGTACTTCTAATCATGGTCTTCTCTTCCAAGCCAGCCCATATGCAAGCTCCCTCCAAGGCTTTACCGATGCAGATTGGGCGGGAGAATTGAGCACACGCAAGTCTACCGGCGGCTACATCTTCCTCATGTGTGGTGCCGCTGTTTCTTGGCAATCGCGCAAGCAAAGTTGTGTGGCACTTTCAACAACCGAAGCTGAGTACATGGCAATGATCGAAGGAGCAAGGGAGGCAATCTGGTTACGTGGACTCTTGGAGGAATTGAGGCAGCCGCAAACTCAACCAACTCCGCTCTACGTGGACAACACTTCAGCCGTAGCTCTTTCCAAGAACCCGGTTCATCATGGGCGTACAAAACACATCGAGGTGCAGTACCACTTCATTCGTGAGCAACTAGAGAAGGGAGTTCTCGCCGTCAACTTTTGCCGTTCATTCGATCAAGCAGCAGATTTCATGACCAAGGTTCTTCCACATGATGCATTCAACATGTGCAAGGCAAGAGCAGGCCTCATGACACTTCATGAAGCAGTGGAGCAGTTTGAGGAGAATGAGGAGTGTGAGGGGAAGAGACGTGGGCAGCAGCATGAAGTGTATGCTAAGGAGATGTGAAAGGAGCATCAGCATGGGTGTATGTGTGCTTCGGGTCTGGTGCGAGGGGGAGTGTTGGAGAATCGAGTTTCTGCCGCCCCAGCCCTTTGCACACAAGCAGCAGCAAGGGGGAATGTCGGCGATGAATCAGAGCTTCGGGAAGTACTTCGAAAGTTCCACCACCAATCAGATTTCAGCCGAAGACTCGATATAGTTCAAAGCTGCCTTCAAACCGAAGTGTTGGCAGTTTCTACAGGTTTCTACACATCAGAATCAGCTATAACAGAAATATCCAGAGTTTTCTTATTCATGCACCTCATGTGGCACTCAAAGTCACTCAAGGTCCATCCAATCTAGATTGTGCCCAAGTTACCAGGGAAGTTACATTGTCTATCAGCCTAGTTTGAGCTTTCAATCTGTCTTGTTTGTGATGCCTAGAGTTGTGCTTTAGTGGGCTTGTTAATCTTGAACATAGTGAAGTTTTACCTCATCCAGTCAATTCCAGCAGCCCTGCTAAGACTTTCCAGCCAAGTTTCCAGCCCTCCAGTAGTCACAGCTACTCTTTTTTACAAGTGAACCTACCCTGATTGGCTTGGAGCCAGGCTTGGCAAGCAGCGTGAAATGCTTGAAGAGCCAAAACCGCCTGTTCGCCTTGGGCTGTATCATTCGGCCTTTGAACGGCGGACGATAGTACGACGGGAAGCGAATGAACGACCAGTGCGCGCCGAAATCGTACGCCTGCCAGACGACGTACGCCGAAGCTTCCATGATATTGACGCTTTCGAGAATGTTCCTCGCCAAATAGAGCGAAAGATCCCAGAAGCTGCCTCCTTTGCTTATCGGCCCTGCTTCGCTGACCCAGACATCCTTGCCCATCAATTTCGCCGTGTCACGAATACTCCCGAACTTCTCTTCGTAAGACGCAGCTGCATTCCCACCGTCGTACTTGTTCACGTACGAGTGAACGTTTATCCTCGTTAGTAGCTGGTGATTGTCCAGCTGAGGCAGTTGCGCTGTGCCTCCGTACCAGCTATCCACGCCAACCAGCTTCGTTTTTAGCCCCTTCTTGCTTAGCGAGTCAGAAGTGTACTTGATGACACGGCCCATTTCGGGTGGGTTAAACGAGCAGCCTTCGTGGTTCATACCCATCACCCAGAACCCTTCCAGCCCCTCGTTAAACGGCTCCAATGATTCGAATGTTACCCCCCATCTTTTCGCAAACTCAGCGACGACGGTCGTTAGGTAGTCCGCGAAAGCGCTCTCGTACTCGACTCGCAAATTCGTCGTCTTTTTCCTGCGCGAGCCTGCCACGTCACCCGTCACAGTCATCCACCAGGGCGGGCTGTTCGAAAACGCCTCGAAGACATTCGCGCCTCTCTCCTTCGCTCCCATCAGCACATTCCGCTGCCGCTCGTCCGCGCTCCAATCGTACGGCCCCTTCTCCGTCGGCTTGAAACCCGGCACTCCACGCCAATACGAATCCTGACTGAAGTCTTGGAACTGAGGACTGAGTTTCTTATTATGCCCCCCTCCGATGTTGTAACGTACGATGTTTAGACCCAAGCCAGAAACGGGATCGAAGAGGAGGTCGAGAATCGTGTTCAGCTCCTGTTTCGGCAAGCCGCCGACGTAGTTCGCGAACCACGCGAGCGAAGTGCCCCATCCTCGCCACATCGTCCCAACGAAATCTGGCGAAATGGTAGTGTTGATCGCACCTGCGACGCGGCATCACGGAAGGGCCCACAGCAAGGTTCGAACGTTACTCAATCACCCACTTAACCAATAGAGCTAGGGAGGAATAAAGAACAAAACAAAAAACGAAGAAAAAAAGACAACAAGCTGAGTGAAATCCTGCGGTATGTCTTACCTGTGTGCGTGCAAGTTCCTAGGATTTCATACGGAGGCCATAAGTCGGGGGGTGAGGGGCGCCTGTTGCCAGATACTGCCGCTGCTCTTGCAGGCGAGGCAATCTCGAGGACGGCGGCTACTAGCGCTAAGAGGACGTGGAGGAGAGGCACGCGGAGGGACAGGCTTCTCGTCATCGTGCCAGTCGCGGGGTACTACTACGTACGGCGAAACTCGTGAGACTGCTCGCAAGCGGTTATTGCATCGATTTTTATGTACGAACGGACATTTGTTGCTCGCGGCACGTTCTGCCTGCTATTCGGAAGGCACCTAACAGAATCCAGCCGCTTGGCCTTCGTTCGTCCGTCCTTCTGGCTGCAGCCAGAAGCCTGAAGAAAGAAAAGCAGGTCCCTTGGTCGATTCTCGCGTGTTGCGGCTCGAGGGGATACTTAGTGGCGCGTGTTGGGCTGTTGCAGTTGGAGGCCAGGCCAAGGGTGCATAGTGATAATAACGTGTGGCTGACCCGCGCGGAGCAGATGGAATGGAACCTAGGGTGACCTGTGATAGTAGGCAGAAGTGCCCGAAGGCAACAATTCCTACCTGACCTTCAAAACCTGAGCAACAGCAGATGTCGAGTGGTGTGCATTTTGGTTGCGTTTTGGGTCCTTCGGCCATGGTTCTCTCCAGGGCTACCTAATGCAGACGCAAGTCTGCATAAACATTTTTCGGCGGAGCCGGGCAAGCCAAAAACACCTGGGGACTTTCGGGGTCTGCCTAATGGAGAGAAGATGGTGGGTGGGGATATTGGGATTGGTGATGTGATGGTGGTGATGACGTTGTCGATCCGCACGCGATTCATTCCACCCAACATTGGGTTGCTGTAAATTGGCGGATGGGAGGAGAATTTGCAGGGGAATAAGCGGACAGGAAATGGAAGACTACACACGGTACTCGGGTCCTACACCGCTTGGTGGTGGTGACCGCAAAATTGCATATTTGCAACTGATACAGTGCAACTGGGAGACACGTCAGTTCTTTAGTGCTAGTACGTGAAATTATAATGCAAAATTGCAAGTATTCTTGGCTCAATTGCAAAGCCCCCGCCTGAAAATTGCCTGCTAGACTGGGCTCAGAAATAATAGCTTTATTAATTTCAACCCTGGGAAATTGGAATAATAGACCACTCCAAATTGAGTTACGAATATTGAACTCCACCGTTTGAGTGATCAGGTGTGGACCATTCAGAATCATGTCAACCTTCTGAGCCGCCGCAACATCCTGGTTTTTAAGGGTAAGGTGAGTGTAGTCGGTTGGCTACAGTTGCTATGGCAGTTCCTGCAATGTACCCTCCAGTCCACGCATTCTGTAAAGGGTAGTATAAAACATAAAGGCACACACAAAAGCCCTGTCTGAGAAAATAGACAGCAGCACAAATTTTCAAGCGCGAATTCATATAATTGCGGAAACATCACGTCTGCTTGGACAAAGGTGGTACATTCAAAGCTTTCATAGTGTATGTGCATAACCATATGCAACCATCAGAGATTCACATGCGTTTAAATGCATTCACACCTGGATACATGCATATGCATGCAAGCGTCAACAGAGCAAAATCTACATACATGCATAAATGAGAGTGCATATATGCGTGTATGGTGCAAAACGCAGATGCATGCAAATACATCATGCTAAGGTGCGTACGCAAATGCCAAGGACATTACCTGGAAATTGAAGCCTCCTGTGATTCCATCCACATTCAGTATCTGTGCCACAACGTAGAAAATCAATAAGAGTGAATTTTGATCTCCAAGCATTGAAACGCAAAAAGGCAAGATCAATATCTGCATTAATCTTAGCATATCATAACACCGACATGGTGTACCTAAACACTTCTTCGGTATCGCTTGCAGTGCCTAAAAAATAGTTTCTCTACCCGCAACAAACACACATAGCGCCAATCCATTCACAAGAACAGCTCACCACCTCTTCAGAAGAAGCTTACCTCATAAGGAAAAGCTTACCTCTTAAGGAAAAGCTTACCTCTTAAGGAAAATCTCACCCCTTAAGGAAAAGCTCACCTGATAAAGAAAAGGGCACCTGATAAAGAAAAGGTCATTTCTTAAGGAAAAGCTCACCTGTTAAAGAAAAGGTCACCTCGCCTGCCAAGTAGAGGTTGGGAACAAGCAGGCTCTCCATTGTTGCGGGGAGTGCAAGGGAAGATGGACGAGACAAGAGAGAGGGACTCACCTCGCCTGCCAAGTAGAGGTTGGGAACAAGCAGGCTCTCCATTGTTGCGGGGAGTGCAAGGGAAGATGGACGAGACAAGAGAGAGGGACTCACCTCGCCTGCCAAGTAGAGGTTGGGAACAAGCAGGCTCTCCATTGTTGCGGGGAGTGCAAGGGAAGATGGACGAGACAAGAGAGAGGGACTCACCTCGCCTGCCAAGTAGAGGTTGGGAACGAGACAGCTCTCCATTGTTGCGGGGAGTGCAAGGGAAGATGGACGAGACAAGAGAGAGGGACTCACCTCGCCTGCCAAGTAGAGGTTGGGAACGAGACGGCTCTCCATTGTTGCGGGGAGTGCAAGGGAAGATGGACGAGACAAGAGAGAGGGACTCACCTCGCCTGCCAAGTAGAGGTTGGGAACAAGCAGGCTCTCCATTGTTGCGGGGAGTGCAAGGGAAGATGGACGAGACAAGAGAGAGGGACTCACCTCGCCTGCCAAGTAGAGGTTGGGAACGAGACGGCTCTCCATGGTTGCAAGATTGACCTTGAGGTGTGGCATGGGTTTGGGGAGGTAATGGGGGAGCGATGGGGGAAGTTGGTGGGAGGAATGGGTAAAGAGGGCCTTTCGAGAACAAAGCAAAGCAGAGACTGGGAACGAACGAAACTACTCTCCCACTGTTGTGAGATTGACCTTGAGGTGTGACACGGGTTGGGGGAGGTAATGGGGGAGCGATGGGGGAAAGTGGTGGGAGGAATGGATGAAGCGAGAGTCTTGAGAGCAAAGCAAAGAAGAGGCTGGGAAGCAAATGACTCCAATGTTTTGAGGTTGACCTTGTTGTTTGGCATGGCATGGAAAAGACAACAGGGGAGAGATCGGAGAAAGAGGCGAGGAGAATGGAAAAAGAAAAAAATTTCGGGAGTAGAAGCAATAGAGGCTCGGAAGAAAATGGCGATCCATTGTGGTTAGATTGGCCTTGAGGTGCAAGACGGGACAGAAAGGTAGAGGCAATAGCGGACAGAATGAGGGAGGGAAGGGCTTGAAAGCGGGAAGAATGGGAAAATTCGAGAAGAAGGTATTGGGAAGGAAGCGGTAAGGGATTGACGAAGCAGAGCAGAAGAACGGGAGAGACGCAGGAAAGAAGGAAGGGGGAAGGGGGACGGAGGGGGAGAGGGGAAAGGGAGAGAGGGATGGAAAAAGGCGAGAAGAGGGTGTTGGGAAGGAAGCGGTAAGGGATTGACGAAGCAGAGCAGAAGAATGAGAGTGACGCAGGGAAAAAGGAAGGGGGGGACAGAGGGGGAGAGGGAAATGGGAGAGGGGAATGGGAGAGGGGAACGGGAGAAGGGAATGGGAGAGGGAACGGGAGAGGGGATTGGGGGAAGGGAATGGGAGAGGGGAATGGGAGAGGGGAATGGGAGAGGGGAATGGGAGAGGGGAATGGGAGAGGGGAATGGGAGAGGGGAATGGGAGAGGGGAATGGGGTAAGGGAATGGGAAAAGTAGAAATACCTCTTTAAGAGTAACACCACCTGCAGTCACGAATTCATCCTTAAAACGACCCTGCAGGAAGGGGAAGAGAGGAGAGGAGACGAGAGGAGAGGTGAGGAGAGCAGAGGAGAGCAGAGGAGAGGAGAGGAGAGGAGAGGAGAGGAGAGGAGAGGAGAGGAGAGGAGAGGAAAGATCATGAGAAAGAGGCAGAGGAATAAATGGGAAAATAGCAGCAATAGTGAAAAATAGGTAAGAAATCAAAGGGGAAAAACATGATGAATGGGGTGCATCACTCAGGCTTATTTGTGAGGCACCTCGAAAGTTCACTAAACAATTATCGCCTCACCTTCCCTGCAACTGCCAGCTCAGATTTGTGGATGACATCAGCAAGGGCGAGCAAATGAGCCTTTGACACGTATGCCCAGAGGGTGTCTGGATGGATTGCCTGTGGAGGTGAAGTGGAGAGATGGGAGAGGGGATGAGAGGAGGGAAGGTTGAGGGGGAAGAGTTTCGGCAGACGAAGGGGACTTAGTACTTTTGCAGACTACAAGGAAAATGGGCGAGCAAATGGGCTTTCCTTGTGGTCTCTAGAATGCAAAAGAAATTGCGATTGCTACAAGAAATGGACAGGATTCTAGAGACTACAAGGAGAAGGGCTTTGCAGACTGTAAAAATGTCACTCACAGCACGATCAAGCAGGTAGCACCAGAATCTTCTGGGAAGGTTCAGCTCCACTGGGGCAGTAGTGCCGATTTTTTTCTTCTGCGACAGTTAGAGGGCGAAATTGAGTGAGTGTTTGAGTGAGTGAGTGAGGGAGGGAGGGAGTGAGTGAGAGAGTGAGGGAGTGAGTGAGTGAGCGAGTGGGAAAGTGAGGGAGTGAGTGAGTGAGAGAGTGAGCACGAGAGTCAATGAGTTGCTTTGGTGCTAAGTGGTGACTTCTGAGGCGGTTAAAAAGCTTGTGTGAGTACTGGAGAGAGCGAGTGAGTGTGGGTAAGAATATGCAGCGGTGAGGAAACTGCTTCGTTGAAGAAAACGGAGAGTAGAAGAGGTTCCTGTTTTTGAAATCACCTGAAGTGATGATTTGGCAGCAGTGAGTGCAGAGAGGAGAGCAGCAGCGGAGAGATGAGGGGTAAAGTCAGCCGCTAGAGTTGCTGGTGGGGTAGAGGGAAGGAGGGAGGGAAAGACGGAGGGAGGTAGGTAGGTAGGGAGGGAGGGAGGGAGGGAGGGAGGGAGGGAGGGAGGGAGGAGGGAGGGAGGGAGGAGGGAGGGAGGGAGGGAGGGAGGGAGGGATTAGGGAGGGAGGGAGGGATTAGGGAGGGAGGGAGGGAGGGAGGAGAAGGAGGCGAGAACGAAATCCGACAGGAAAGCATGAGAGAGAAGAAGAAGAGAAGGCAAGAGAACCATCTCAGTACTGCCATCCGCCAGAGTAAGTAACCCCCCCCCCACCCACCCACCCACCCACCCACCCACCCACCAGTGTAAGCAGCAGCATGTAGATTTATGGCAGCCCAGGCTGAGAGTTTCAGCACAGCCGGCCCGCTCACTCCCCAGTGCGTGATGGGAAGGGGTGAGGGGAAAGAGGCCCACGCAACCACCCACCCACCACCCACCATCACCACGCACCCACCATCCACCCACTACCAAACACCCACCACCCACCCACCAGTGTAAGCCGAGGCATGCAGATTTCTGGCAGCCCAGGCTGAGAGTTTCAGCACAGCCGGCCCGCTCACTCCCCAGTGCGTGATGGGAAGGGGTGAGGGGAAAGAGGCCCACGCACCAACCACTGCCACCAAAAGCGCAACCAACCCACCGTTGTAAGCAGAAGCGTGCAGATTCCGAGCAGCCCAGGCTGAGAGTTTCAGCACCGCTGGGCCGCTCACTCCCCTCCCCAGTGCGTGAAGGGAAGGAGTGAGGGGAGAGATTCGCAGCAGGAGTGAAGGGAGAGAAGCACACCCACCCACCAGTGTAAGCAGAAGCATGCAGGTTCCTAGCAGCCCAGGCTGAGAGTTTCAGCACCGCTGGACCACTCACTCCCCAGTGCGTGAACAGCAGCGGCCCTCGCTGCGTGAAGGAAACCTCCTTGTCCTTTCGCTGCTTGGACTTGGTTTTGCTCGTGGTGGCAGCGGTGGCAGGAGCAGTGGCAGTGACAGCGGCAGCAGTGGTTGTGGTGGTGGTGGCGGTGGCAGCAGCGGTAGAGGCGAGGGGTGAAAGGTCGGAGGAGGAAGGGGAGGATGGAACGAGCAGCTTGAGAGATACGTCTTCAAGGGATACCTGATTGATGGGCATAGACAGGGAGAGGGGAATGATGGAAGAAGAGGCAATCGCAGGCTGTCGGGAATGATGGATAAAACGGGGGATGGAATGAGCAGCTTGAAAGGAGACATTTCCCAAAGACACCTGGTTTGATGGGCATGGCAAGGCAGAGCGAATGAATGGAGACACCCACTCAATCATTCACTCACTCACTCACTCAATCACTCATCCACTCACTCACGCACTCTCTCACCCACTCGCTCACTCATCCACTCACTCACTCACTCGCTCGCTCACTCACTCACTCACTCACTCACTCACTCACTCACACACACACTCGCTCGCACTCACTCACTCACCCCTGCACGAGCAGTAAGAGCAGAATCAGGGATGTTGAATGTGAAGAGGAATAAGAGCAAGGAGGGACGATACTGTGAAAAATGGGGCTGACAATTGAGAGACACTCACTCATCAGATCACTCACTCACTCACTCTCTCACTCACTCACTCTCTCACTCACTCACCCCTGCTAGAGCAGTGAGAGCAGAATCAGGGATGTTGAAAGTGAAGAGAGACGGGCAGGGAGGGACGATGGAGTGACCTAGGGATGATGCCATGTCATGGCCCTGCAGGGGTTGAGAGGGGTGGGGAGGGATGAGAAGGGGTGATGGGGGACGGGGACAGTTAGAAAGGGGTGAGAGGGGTGAGATGGGGCGACACTTTGAGACACATTTGGAAGTGGAAGGAGGGAAGGGCAGGGAGGGGTGATGGAGTGAGGGAGGGATGATGCCATGGAATGCCCCAGGGGTTGAAAAGGGTGAGAAGAGGTGAGACGGGGTGAGGAGGGGTGAGAATGAGGAGCGAGGATGAGGGGTGATGAGGGTGATGAGGGGTGATGAGGGGTGATGAGGGAAGTACAGGCAGGGACGACTGCAGGGTCTTACGGAAGGTAGAGGAGGACTTGCTGAAATCAATAAACAACACCGATGACATTCGAGAATCACCCTAACCAAAAGGTCTAATACCTTGATTGACCCACCGGTGGCGATAAGAACGAAATCAGCCACGAGGGAGAGGGGCGAGGTGGAGGAGGAGGTAGCAGAAGAGGGAGAGGAGGAGCTGTTGGTAATCGGTGGAGTCTTCTTGGAGGAGGAGACCAGGAACTGGCCTGCAGGGGTGCGAGTGATGGATGCCACGGGCCAGCCCGGGGAGATGGTCACTGTGGGTGTAAGGGAGGAGGGGGCAGGGGGAGGAGAAAGGGACACGTGTTGTTGTGCGTGGGAGTGTACTTCTTGGAGGAGGTGACCAGGAACTGGCCTGCAGGGGTGCGAGTGATGGATGCCACGGGCCAGCCCGGGGAGATGGTCACTGTGGGTGTAAGGGAGGAGGGGGCAGGGGGAGGAGAAAGGGACACGTGTTGTTGTGCGTGGGAGTGTACTTCTTGGAGGAGGTGACCAGGAACTGGCCTGCAGGGGTGCGAGTGATGGATGCTACAGGCCAGCCCGGGGAGATGGTCACTGGGGGGGGGGGAAGAGGAGATGAACAGAGAGGGGGGAGTGGGAGAAGAGGGATGAGTGTGCATCAGGCTGAAGGGGTGCGAGTGATGGATGCCACGGGCCAGCCCGGGGAGATGGTCACTTGGGGGGGGGAGGGAGCGGGGGAAAGGGGGAAGGGGAGGGGCGGGGGAAGGAGGAAAGGGGACGAGGAAGGGGCGGAGTGTGAGAGCGCGGGTCAGCAGGAACTGGCCTGCAGGGGTGCGAGTGATGGATGCCACGGCGGAGATGGTCACTGGGAGGGAGGGCGGAGACGGAGGGCGGAGAGAGAAGGCACGGAGAGAGGGAGGACGGAGAGAGGGAGCTGTTGATGTGTGGTTGGAGTGTTCTTGGAGTGGGGGATGAGGAACTGGCCTGCACGGGTGTGAACGATGGATGCCACAGGCCAGCCAGGCGAGATGGTCAGTGGGAGGGAGAAAAGGGGCGGAACAAAGAGGGGGGAGTGGGAGAAGTGAGATGAGTGTGTATCAGGCTGAAGGGGTGCAAGGGATGGATGCCACAGGCCAGCCAGGCGAGATGGTCACTGGGGGAAGGGGGGACGTTTTTGAGAGCTTACCTGAAGATGTACCGCAGAGCACCTGAGAATGCACCTGTGAGCACCTGAGAGTGTACCTGAGAGTTGGTGGGCTTGTGATAGCAGGCAGTCAATGACCGACTGGGAGGAGTCTGACACGGGGAACATGCGCCCGTCTGGCTCCGTCTGGCATGGGAGGTGGGGGGTCGAGGGGGGTGGAGTGTGCGGAAAAGAAGGGGAGAGGGATAGGTAGGCAGCAGGCTGTCAATGACCGACTGGGAGGAGTCAGACACGGGGAACATGCGCCCGTCTGGCTTTGTCTGGCATGGGGGTGTTGGGGGGCAGAGGAGGATGGAGAGGGTGGGGTGGGCGGTTGTGGGGATTTGAGATGAGAAACTGAGAGAAGGCAGTCAGTGACTGATTGGGGGGAATCAGACACGGGGAACATGCGCCCGTCTGACTCTGTCTGGCATGGGGGGGGAGGGGTGTGTTGCGGGATGGAGGGCAGTGACAGGAGCGGGAGGATTGAAGGGGCGAAAGATATGGAGCAGGCAGTCAGTGACTGATTGGGAGGAGTCAGACACGGGGAACATGCGCCCGTCTGGTTCAGTCTGGCATGGTAGTGTGTGTGGTGTAGGGATAAGAGGGGGGAGTGACGGGTTGAGGAATTGGCTGGCACTTGACATTCAATGGCTGATTGGGAGGAGTCAGACACAGGAAACATGCGCCCGTCTGGCTCCGTCTGGCATGGGGGCATGCGGTTGAGGCATGCGGGAGGGAGGGCAGTGGCATGCGGGAGGGAGGGCAGTGGCATGCGGGAGGGAGGGCAGTGGCATTGGGTGGTTGGCTATGGGCGGGCATGGAAGGACCAACTGGGAGGAGTCCTGACAATGGGAACAAGCGGCGGTCCGGCTCTGTCTGGCATGCGGGTGGGAGGGGCTGTGAACAGCGCAGAGCAGACTGGACGGCGTGGCGGAATTAGCAGAGCGACATGCAGTGTTAAGCGCAAGGCGTGGGGGCGTGTTTTGAGACGTCTCAAAACCCGGAAGCAGGCGACATGCAGTATTAGGGGCTAGGCGTGAAGGCGCAGACATATGCACACAGCATACCTTGAGGGGCACCCCTCGCTGGGTGAACCACTCGACTGTGTCTGCTGGGCCGTGTGTTCGGAAGAAGGAGCCTTTAAGCTCGCGATGGCCTCGCGGATAGTGGGAGGAGAGGTGCTGCGAGTGGGGGGTGGGAGCGGGGGCGGAGCGGAGGGGTGAAGCAGGGCAACTTGACGTTCGCCGGGCCGTGTGTTCGGAAGAAGGAGCCTTTAAGCTCGCAATGGCCTCGTGGATAGTGGGAGGAGAGGTGCTGGGCGGAGGGGGCGATAAGGATTCACAAAAGAGGAAAGGGAGAGGAGAGGGGATGGAACAAGGCGAGGTGGTGAAACACCATGCAGGAGAAGTACGTGGCAAGTTACAAGTTTCGTCTAACAAGGTACATGTTCCACATTGAAGGTTACATCTTCCATAGTACAGGTTACATCTTCCACGTTACAGGTTACATGTTCCACAACACAAGCAACATGTTCGAAACTACGCGTTCCATGCTATACATTACAAGTTACATGCTACACAGTAACATGTTACACAGTAACCTGTCACATTCTAAAAGGTGCACGGGTCGGCTACGAGGCCTGTTGACTTTTGCGTCAACTCAAAAGTCACTGCGTTACAAGTTACACAGTACAGTAACTGGTGGCATTATAGTTTACAAGGTGCACGTACTATGGGGTCGGCTGCGAGGCCTGTTGTGACATTGCAGCGCCCGCCCCCTGATATGCGCACCTGATGATGCATGGGAGGAGGCAGGTGGGTAAAGGTATCAAATGGCATGAGTCATGGTGCAGTACAGTGTGCGGTACAGTGCTGTGGTGACATTGCACGTGAAAAAGTGTTGTTTTGAGACGTCTCAAAACAACACTTTTGTCACGGTGCAGTACAGTGTGCGGTGCAGTGCTGTGTGGTGACATTGCAGCGCCCGCCCCCTGATATGCGCACCTGATGATGCGTGGGAGGAGGCATTGGGGAAGGCCGGTGGGGACATGAATGGGATGAGACATGAGGCAGGGGGTAAAGTGAAACATCCCCATCCAAACCCCCAGCTCCGCCCCAGATCACTCCCAATTCTCCTCACCCCACTCCCCCTCTCTCCTCCCTCCCTCTCACCTTTTTTAGCGGTTCTCTCTTCTCTACCACCCGAACCTCTGGGCCAGGAGCCATTTTCTTGCCTCTCCGCTTCCCCATTCTCCCCCTCTTTCCCCCCCATTTCTCTCCCCCACTACCCCTTCCCCTCCCCTCTTCCCCCCTTTATTTCACCTTCCCCAGCGGTTGACTCTTCTTCACCACGCTGACATCCAGCCAGGAGCCATCTCCTTGGCACAAATCGCACCAATCGCTCCCTGCTTCCCCCAAATTCCTCCTTTTCCCCACAGCCTTTCCCCCTCCCGCTCACCTTCCCCAGCGGTTGACTCTTCTCCACCACCCGGACCTCCAGGCCAGGAACCACCTCCTTACCTCTCTCCGTCACTTCTCCCCCTATTGCTCTCCCTTTTCTCTCTTATTCTACCCCTTCCTACCCCTCCACCCTCAACCCTCACCTTCCCCAGCGGTTGACTCTTCTCCACCACTCGGACCTCCACACCAGGAGCCATCTCCTTGCCTCGAATCGCACCAAACACTTACTGCTTTCCCCCAAATTCCTCCCTTTCCCTACACCTTTCCCCCCCATCCCTCTCACCTTCCCCAGCGGTTGACTCTTCTCCACCACCCGGACCTCCAAACCAGGCGCCATCTCATTCTCTATCCCCTTCCCTTTTTCTCCCCTTCCCTTTTCTCTCCGCCAATCTCACAATTCCCCACACCCCTCCCCCTTCCCTCTCACCTTCCCCAGCGGTTGACTCTTCTCCACCACCCGGACCTCCAAACCAGGAGCCATCTCCTTGGCTCGAATCGCACCAAACACGCCCGCCGCCCCTCCTCCGATCACCACCAGCTGAAGCGGCCGCTTTTCCCCACCAACCTCCCCCACTCCTTCCGCCACTTCCCCCTTCCCCGCCGTTTCCCCTTTCCCCATCGCTTCCCCATTCTCTGCCTTGTCAGCATCCCCGTTCCTGCTGCTGGTACTGCTGCTCCTGCTGCTTGTCGCAGAGCCAGTGGTTACCCGACTGGTAACCGCATTTCGACCGATCCGGAACTTCGCCTGTCGCCAAGCGCAGCGAGAACTCGTGTCAAAGGTTGCCTTATTCGCCACTACCCCACAGCTACGACTCGGAATCGCAAGAAATTTCATGGATTCCCCGAAAGGCGTTGACGTTTGAACTAGCCGATCCCCCGCGAAAGACGGCGCAGCAGGCGATGTTGTGAAATGAAGCGCGCCAAACCGGCTGGCCGTCAAAGCAACGGTCAGCCGGCTACCTGTAACAGCCGACAGGCGGCTAAGCCGAATTCCTAGGTCCATCGCGAGATCTATAAATACATGTCAACGCAATCAACGCAATCAACGCAATCAACGCCGTCAACGCATCCAACCCCGTCAGGACCCTGTCAGTACTGGATGGACCGTACAGGTGTAGTGCCTTACATGAGAAAATATTCCTGAATGATATAGATTCCCGAGATTTTCTGTTCGACGTAGAAACTTGAAAGGCAAATTCCCGTTAGAGGAGACGAGACAACTCCAAGGGTGAAAGCAAAAACCCATCTTCAGCTCTTCCGACCGAACTTTACCGCGTTTTGTTTCCCAAAAGCCCAATTGCCAACCTGAAATTCCAGGTCAAACCCAAACCAAGCACCAGCCGCCGAACCCCCGTTTCCCGCCCAAACGAAACCTGAACTCGAGCCTGGATTCCAGGGCAAATGTTCACCAACCAAAGCTTCAAAGCCGCGTCCCAAACCTGGATTTACGCTTGACAGCAAGCAGCCGTACCCAACCTTTTCATTCTCCAATTAAACCGTTCCGCGGCTCACAACATCATCTGTGCCGCTGTGGTTGGCCATTCGGCATCTGCCCTTTTACTCGAGCCGTCATACCCGTCCTTAGAACCCTTGGAATCGTGCCATTTGCCAAAAGGGCTAGGATCTCAACGGGGAAAATTACCCAGAAAACGTCTGAATGACGACGTCTTGTTCGTTTTCAAGCAGACGGAGATCAGCAAAGCCTTATGGATTGGGTGAGACTCACTACGATGCTCTCTGTATAGCTCGAAGCGCGAGTCTGGACGAGATTCGTCGTAATTTCCAAGAAGCAGCGCTGTTGTTGCACCCAGACAAACAGCAGCAGCAACAGCAGCATCAGAACCAGGAGAAGGAGCAACGGCAGCAGGAAGGCGAACTGATTCACGAAGATCAGGAATTACTGGTGCAGGATGACGGCGATGGCATTTCCAACGGTCGGGAGCAACGGTTTCAGCGCGTGCACGCGGCGTGGTCTGCTCTGCGAGATTCGTCCACGCGTGCCGAATACGATCGCGTGCTTATAGGTGCGTGATTCAACCGGTTGGTTTCTTCATGGGTAGGGTTTTGCTATCGTGCTGCTTTCAAACTGAATTATGTTCTACCCAAATTACCGCGTTTTCTTGTACCGAATCTCTGGTGCAGAGTCGGACAAACGTGCGGCGGCGCTAGCTCTGATGCAGCAGGGCTGCTACAGCCGCAGCTACAGTGCTGGCTGTCACAGCTCCACCAACGGTGGCTACAGTCCCAACTCTGCAAATGGTTGTCACATACATGACGGGCATTTGCAGGACGGAATGAGGCAAGGTGGGATGGAGCAAGGGCAGAGAGAGTATATTGAAGTGGCAGGAGTACCCACAGCAGTAGGGGGAGAAGGAGGAGGAGGAGGAGGGGGAGGAGGAGGGGGAGGAGGAGGGGGAGGAAGAGGAGGGAGAGGAGGAGGGGGAGGAGGAGGGGGAGGAGGAGGGGGAGGAGCAGGAGGAGGGGCAGTATCAGTGGCCCGAGAAGCAGCAGGGGGGGTTCACTGTGGTGGTGCAACGCCGTGTGCTGATGGGATTAGCATAGACGACATGACATGGGAGGAAGAAGAGCAAGAAGAAAAAGACAAAGGAGGAGCAGAAGAGGAGGTGGTGGAGGAAGAGGGGTGTCATGCAGGGAAGTGTGACAGTGGAAAGGGGGGGTCAGGATGGGAGGGAGGAGGCAAGCAGGCCTACAGGAGAGGTGTGTTTGTGGCCGAGTGTCGGTGTGGGGACGTATTTGCCTTGGAATCACAGGAGGTGGTTGAGGCTCTTGGTCTCGAGGGAGTGGCTCTTGGTCTAGAGGGAGTGGCTCTTGGTCTAGAGGGAGTGGCTCTTGGTCTAGAGGGAGTGGCTCTTGGGAGTAAAGGATCCGTGGCCTGTAGTGGGAGACCTGGGATGGAGACAGGTGGAGGTGAGGGGGGTGCTGCTGGAAATGTGGGAACAGAGAGACAGCAAAATGGAGGAGGGGGAGGGGAAGGGGGAGTAAGATGGGGGGAAGAGGGGCTTGGGGAAAGGAGAGGGGAGGAGGGAGGAGTGGGGCTGATGGGAATTGGTGGAGTTTCTGGTAGGGGTGTGGAGATTATTGTACCTTGCTGCTCCTGCTCGCTACATTTGCTTGTGTTTGCAGATGCGAACTCGAGATCGCTACAAGTGATTACCGGTATGAGATTTGATTAGCTCCGGATGAGTTGTGTAATTTTCCGCTTGGATGTTGACAACTTTGACAACCCATATGGTAGAATGCTGTCAAATGTTATAGCCTCTAGTGGGTCATGCTATATGGGGTACAAACAGTTAGGGTTAGGCATTTGTACCCCAACCCAATCAATCCAACTCATTCCGCTGTGTTTAGTTTCTGAGATGGTATCAGCAGTAGGTTCGCCGTTCCTAGGCCACACTTAGAGCGTATTCCTATCCTCGTATCAAGAGAACCTCATATCAAGATTGTACCTTTTGCCTGGTAAAACTAGCGAGAGGTTTTGGGTTTAGGGGAATTTTCAGTGGGAGGTTGATATGAGGTTCTCTTGATACGAGGATAGGAATACGCTCTTAGTCTCCGCCGTTCCTAGACTTCGGCCGTCACTAGCCTTGGTGTGAAACCCCCCCCCGTCTGCCCTAAGCGCCCTAGCCAGCAGGCCCGCCAGCGCCTTAGCCAGCAGGCCCGCCAGCGCCCTAGCCAGCAGGCCCGCCAGCGCCCTAGCCAGCAGGCCCGCCAGCGCCCTAGCCATCAGGCCCGCCAGCGCCCTAGCCAGCAGGCCCGCCAGCGCCCTAGCCATCAGGCCCGCCAGCGCCCTAGCCAGCAGGCCCGCCAGCGCGCACGCCAGCGCGCCCCGCCAGCGCACACGCCAGCGCGCCCGCCAGCGCGTCACGCCAGCGCGCCCGCCAGCGCGTCAGCCAGCGCGCCCGCCAGCGCGTCACGCCAGCGCGCTCGCCAGCGCGCACGCCAGCGCGCCTCGCCGCCTGCCCGCCAGCCAGCGCGCCGCGCCGCCCGCCAGCCAGCGCGCCGCGCCGCCCGCCAGCCAGCCCGCCACGCCGCCCGCCTGTCCGCATGCCGCGCCGCCTGCCCACCTGCACGCCTGCGTGCTTGCCCACACGCCACTGACTGTCTCCCCCTCCCGCGGCTGGCAGCCGCGCTCTCTCAGTTTCGCCCCCTATGGCGACCTCACGAGTACTTCGATTTGACCCTGAAGGGAGACCGATTGACTTTAATACGTGGCTTACGCAGGCGCAGCGCCACCTTAAGAGCCAGCGGCAGGATGGCGTGCACCTGTTCGCACACGCGTCCGGCACTCAGACCGCCCCTCCGCAGCCTCAGCCGCTGCCCACTACCCCACCGCCTACTTCTGAGCAGGAGGCCGACTACCAGCGCCAGCTCCTCGCTCGCGACGTGTGGGAGTCTCGTGACGCCGCTGTCTGCCTCGCCCTGACCGACCTTCTCCCGCCGACAGAGGCAGTCCACTTCGCTCAGGTCGAGTCTTCTGCAGATCTGTATAAGGCTATTGTTACTCGCTACTCCACTCCCTCCTCTGCTTCGCTCAGTCGCCTCCTCGTACCCTTTATCTACCCTGACCTCGCCTCCTTTGAGACTGTCTCTGACCTCGCTACTCACCTGCGCTCCCTTGATGCTCGCTTTCGCGCTGCTTGCACTGAGGACCAGCTTGCCCTTGCCCCACCCCCTATGTGGCTCACTATTCACTGGCTAGTCACTCGCCTCCCTGACCGCCTAGCCACAGCCCGCGACGCGCTTCTTCTGAAGCACCAGCTTGCCCTTGCCCCACCCCCTATGTGGCTCACTATTCACTGGCTAGTCACTCGCCTCCCTGACCGCCTAGCCACAGCCCGCGACGCGCTTCTTCTTAAGCACCCCACTGAGCTTACCATCGATCTTCTTGAGACTGCTCTCTCGAAGATCGAGAGTAACCTCCTCACTATTGCCTCTGCCTCTTCCGCGCCTCCTCCTCGTCTTTTTGAGGGGTGTGCGGTACCACAGCTTCCCTCCTTCTCTGCCTCACTTGCCACCCCCACGTCTTCTGCCTCTGAGGAGACGGCGGCTGTTTCTGTCTCTGGCGGGCAAAAACGTGGCAAGGCTGGTAAGAGGGGCGGGAAGGGCGGCGGAGGTACTGGAGGTGGTGCGGGTAGTGGCGGTGGCGGTGGAGCAGGTGGTGGGAGTGGTGGTGGGGGTGGCTCGGGACCTGACGGCCCTCCTTTCGACGGTGGAGTTTTCACTGGTGGTGAGGGGTCCCAGCAGCAGCAGCAGCCGACTCCTCAGCAGCTGCCACCGCCTGGACAGCAGCAGCGGCAGGGACAGCAGCAGCAGCGACAGGGCCATCAGCAGCGCCCGCCACAGCAGCAGCCTCAGCAGTGGGGCCCTCCGCAGCAGTGGGGCCCTCCGCAGCAGTGGGGCCCTCAGCAGCAGTGGAGGTCTGCGGGTCCCCCGAGCACTGGGAGCAGTGGCGCCCCCTCCCGTCGGGGACCTCGCTCGGCCGGCCGCGACGTTGGTCCCTGTGAGTACTGGATCCTTACGGGTCCTCGTCGGGACTCGCACTGTGGCCGCCCCGACCACTCTGCTGCACGCTGCTTCAGTCGTCTCGACGACCTCTAC